CCCCCTCGGCTCGGACATCCTTTGTGAATGGCCCCTATCAGTTTTGGTGGGGGTTTTGTTGGCAGAGTCGCTGACGGTGCCTTTTATACCTCTGTGACCAGATTTAATTTCTGCAACCTGTGGTTGTCTGATTAAAATTTCACTTATTATCACAAAGAAATCTTTATGATCTTTTATACACATATAACAAATTCTTAGCTTTGAAAGATTTGTAATATTGTCATACTGAGCATGACCAGCATGATCCCAAGCCTATATGTAGCCACTGATGAACATATACAATTTTATTTATTCAGTATTAACGGAACGATCGTGCACAGAGCAATGCCTGCGTTTCCCTCCTTCAATATGTTAAAGACATTATGTTTTTCAATGCTGGTTTTGGTGGTAGCCTACATGTTACCATCCGATGACTCGCAGCGCTATCGTCACGGTTCATTCGCTCCAGTTCGTGAAAGGTGTAAAGCTGTATGGTATGTGGACGGCGAAGATTACATGTCTGCTGTAGGCGAGGCTATCATGACAGCCGAGACAGAAATCATGATTACTGACTGGCAAATGAATCCTGAAATCTTCATGAAAAGACCTGATTCTGGAGTTGATGGTTTAGAATGGCGACTGGACAATATGCTGTTAAGAAAGGCTGAAAATGGTGTTAAAGTGAAAATATTATTATACAAGGAAATGAAACAAGTTTTAGATCTTGGAAGTGATCACGTCGTAGAAGTGTTTAAAAAGCTTAAAAAGCATAAAAATATCGAAGTTCACCGTCATCCTGGTTTCTTTACTGGATTACTGGTTTTGTTTCGGTGGAGTCATCATGAAAAGATGGTCATTGTTGATGGCAGTATTGCATTTGTTGGTGGCATTGATCTCTGTTACGGACGCTGGGACACTCGCAAACATGATCTGATGGATAATTATCCCGTTCATCCTGATGTACACGGAAGCCATGATTCGGATGATAACCCACGTAATCATGAATTGATGGATGACTATCGCGTTCATTCTGCTTTAGATGAAAGCCAGACTTTGAATGATAATTCACATAAATATGCTCGGTGGATTGGCAAGGATTACAGAAATACGTTTTACAATAAGGAGAAGAAAACGGACTTGGAGAAACCATTGGATGGTTACGATGGAGTTGAAAGAAATGAAATTCCTCGCATGCCTTGGCATGATGTAAGCTGTGCATTCACTGGAGAAGCCGTACAAGATGCTGTGCAACATTTCACAGATAGATACAATGCTATAACAAAACCTTGGTGGCGAAGATTTTCGGATTTCTTTCGTCAATACTTTCAGAGTATTAACCAATTAAAGCAATCTACCAAAAGCAACAATACAAAAGCAGAAGAAATCGTGTCAAATTCCGGTGGCTACAACGTGAAAATTCAACTCCTGAGATCTGTGGACAACTGGTCAGCTGGTCAGAAACATGAAGCATCAATATATAACACTTATCTAGTTGCGATAAAGAATGCTCAACACTTCATTTATATTGAAAATCAGTTCTTCATTTCATCGCAAAAGGGTTTTTTACGAAAAGTTCAAAATGATATCCAAGCAGCATTGGTTGAAAGAATTATCCGTGCTCACAGAGCCAACGAAGATTTCCATGTTATGGTCATCACCCCTCTGAAACCTGAATTCCCTGGTGATTGGGACGCCGATGATTGGACCGGAGAAACTCTACGAGCAGTGGCATTTTGGAATCAAGCCACTATCTACCATGGAGAAGACTCGTTATTTAGTAAGCTTGAGAAAGAGAATATTCCGAAAGAAACTGCTATGAAGTACTTCTCTGTGTATAGCTTACGTAAATATGATTTGATTGGAAAACATTTTGTTACTGAGATCGTGTATGTGCACAGTAAGATCATGATCGTTGATGATCGTAAGGCAATTATTGGATCTGCAAATATCAATGATCGCAGTATGCTGGGAGGTCGAGATTCCGAAATTGCAGTTATGATAGACGATTTAGATTTCGTTGATGGTAACATGAACGGTATAGGATACAAGATGGGAAAGTTTGCTCATAGTTTGAGATGTGATCTACTTAAAGAGCATTTAGGATTGGTCGGTAAGAGCGAGGATGAATTTGACATAAGAATCAACGATCCACTGGCCGAAAGTTTTATTAAAGGTGTACATGATCGGGCAATAAAAAATACTCGTATGTTTCTAGAAGCATTTGGTCAAGGTTTACTTCCAAGAGAGGATGTGGAGGATTTTGAAGCGTTAAAACGTTATAAAGATATTCCTTTGCCTCGTAAAAATACACCACAGGCCAGACAAATTCTGAAGAAGATAACAGGAACCCTAGCGAATCATACCCACACATTCCTGAAGAAAGAACTTAAACCTTCCAAATTCCTAGATTCTGTGATGATGAATAGCATGGCGGTAGATGCCAACCGAAACGCCGTGTGTGTTTGTATTCTGGCCAAAGCTGGTGAAGATACCTTGGTGTTTCTGGTGAAGTGGGCCGCAAGAGGACAAGATCGTTATATATGGGATTTCCCAATATTTTTTGTCGAAACAGATTCATCGGACGACAAAGTCATCGTGACTAAGGGAGAGGAATTTGTAAGGAAAGAATTTGAGATAACTTTATCTGAGGACCAAGGTCTATCCAACCTTAAACGGGATGTTTATCCGTTGTATAGCACATATAAATTTCAGGAAATTTTATTTGTCTTGGCTGCAGAGCCAAAGAAGTTGACTGGTGAATCAGCGAATGGTCAAAGCACAAAGTGGTTGCGACCGTCTGAGGTACAGGAAATAGCTGTTTCAACTGAAGATTATAGTTGGGTGCACAATTTTGAACCACCGGCATATTTTAACAGAAAGCGACATACAAAAAAGAGTGCATTCTGATATGAATACACAAAGCACGTTAGAAAACAGTCTAGTTTATAGGGCGACGCTACGACAATTTACTTGATAACCGAAAAAGTGTGTAGTTTTTGGTACTTCTTTGTTTTCAGTTCAGGTTAGATGTTAGATAAAAATCTCACATCTTGTAGCAAGTCTGCCAACAAGTTGTGTTCGCCCTGCTTGTCACAAGTTGTCAACAAGTTTGGAACAAGCCGTTAACAACTTGTAACAACCTTGTTGATATTATCAGATTTTTTGCAAGGTTGTACCAACAAGTTCCATCCAGTCATGATATAACAATATTGTTACAACCTTGTGTCGTCAACCTATATCATGACTGTATCAGAATTGTTAGAACAACCTTGTAACAAGTCTGATATTGCCATCAAGCTTGTTACAAGTTGTTAACAGCTTGTTCCGAACTTGTTACAACAACTGGGAACAAGCAGTCCGAACACAAGTTGTCGACAGTTTGTAAACAGATTTGTAACAACTTGTTTGCAGACCTGTAAGACCAGATTTGTAACAACTTGTTTGCAGACAACTTGTGCGTTTTTACGTGGTAGAAATACACACGTAAAGATCTCACATCTTGTAGCAAGTCTGCCAACAAGTTGTCAGTCGCACTGCTTGTCCCAAGTTGTCAACAAATATGGAACAAACTGTCAACAACTTGTAACAACCTTGTTGATATTATCAGGCTTGTTGCAAGGTTATTCCAACAAGTCTGATGCAGTCATGATATAACAATATTGTTACAACCTTGTGCGGTCGATCTTGTAACATCCTTGTAACAAGTCTGATAATATCGACAAGATTGTTACAAGTTGTTAACAGCTTGTTCCAAACTTGTTGACAACAACTGGGAACAAGCAGTGTGAACAAACCTTGTCGACAGCTTGTGAACAGACTTGTAACAACTTGTTTGCAGACTTGTAACAACTAGTGAGCTTTTTATACACGTGTAGAAGTACACACGCAAAAATCTCACATTTTTAGCAAGTCTGCCAACAAGTCGTCAACAAACAACAAGTTGTGTTCACCCTGCTTGTCCCAAGTTGTTAAACAAGTTTGGAACAAGCTGTTAACAACTTGTAACAACCTTGTTGATATTATCACTTTATCAGACTTGTTGCAAGATTGTTTCAACAAGTCCGATACAGTCATGATATAACAATATTTTTACAACCTTGTACCGTTAACCTTGTAACATGACTGCATCAAACTTGTTAGAATAACCTTGTAACAATTAGTCTGGTACTGCCATCAAGTTGTTAACAGCTTGTTGCAAACTTGTTAGTTGTTACAACAACTCAGAACAAGCAGTGCGAACACAACTTGTCGACAGATTTTGAACAGATTTGTACCTGTAACAACTTAGGTTAATATGCCTTTTTATGAGTGCATGTTTTCCAAACATTGTTTCAACATGAAGTATTTCCCATTAGCAAACGTTAACTGAACGCAGGCTCGCGTCAGGTTATTTAAATAACCATGTTTTAATGTCTTTAATCGCAAAAATTAAAAAAAATACAGTAGTTTAACACTTTTAACTAAAGAACTATCGATATCTAAAGGTAGGTATATTACTTTGCATTCTATCGGCCATTTTAATGTAAAATTCAACACGGAACGCTTCATAAACTGTTGTCAAATAAGCTCTTTAAACGTACGTACTAACGGGCATTACGTCATTATACTCCTATTTTGAATACATTTTGAATCATACAATAGTTTGCTATCCTTTTGAGCTTTTATGAAAAATTACAACAAGTTTTAAAAAGCTTTCACTTTTGCGCTGGGTCTAAATGCTTTAATCCTCTATTCTTCTTCATCTTTAAGGCCAATGAAAATTGATATCATGTTTCTCGTCCACAATTTTCAAAAATTTGGAGCGGGGTTTTTTCATTTTTCATTATTTTTTGTATTTGAATTCTGCTTGTCAATAATTTCCTTGACCCAGTAAAAACCCCCATAAAAATCTCAAGTATTAAAAATTGGTGCATAATTCATTTTAATTTAATACGTCCTACACTACAGTCTACAGACTACAGTATATTTCTTTACATACCAGGGCTGACATGAAAAATAGAGGCATTCTGGCGAGTAATATCTTTAGAAAGATACAATTTGAGTTGCGCTTGCGGAATACAGCAATAAGACTTTGATCTGGAGATGAATTTGGTGTTTTTTAAGCCTATTTATCAAAAATAATGAATAATGAAAAATTTTCGTGCGGCACATAAATCCCATGCGGGCGGGGACGAAAAACATGATATCAATTTTCATTGGCCTAATGCACCTATCAATGTTAAGCCCCAGGGTGGGAGGGTTGGGCATATGTGGGGCATTTGATTTTTCATGCAATTTTTTGGTCAAATTCCCTACCATGGGGAAGCTAATATCAGTCAAATGTGATCAAATGCCCCAATGTTGGGCACACTTATTTGTGGTCACAGAGTAGAGACATACAGAGACGTAACTAGTGTACCCACTTTTTTTGTGTGCATGCTCGGCAAGTTACTAGATGCATGCATCTGATTGGATGACGACCTGATGACGACTCACTTTAAACTTGCTGAGCATGCGCAGTTGATCATTTTTCGCCCGGTCGCCTGAAAAAAAGTGGGTACATGATAACGTAATCTTCCGCAGTGTTTACAACAGTCAGTTAAGTCTCTGTATGTCTTATCTACTCTGTGTTGTGGTGAAAGGCTTGAAAGTCGTTTGTCCCAGTCCTCAACAAGTGCTCTTCCTCAGCATACAAGATGGCGCTCAATTCAAATATCCCCACCCTCGGAGGTGGAGTCAATGAAATTCCTGAGGGTGGGGGAACAATAATCGGTCAAATGCCCCACATATGCCAAATTGCCGCCCGCCCCCGAGGCTTAACATTGATAGGTGCATAAACACCACTTCTGCACATGTTTCAATACCATACCATATAGCATGTTCCTGTATTCATAAATGGGCTGTGCATTATTTTTAAACTTCCATTCACCTGGTTGATCCATCATGTATCATTCTGTTTCTTTCAGCATCATAGCAATTGGCACCTCTGTCAAGCAAAATCTGACTGGCAAGTAGCTATCTCTTGGCAGATAGCTGTCTCCTGGTGAGTAGCTATCTCCTTGCAGAAAACTTGCTGGTTCTGATAATGGCCCAATCCGCCCATAACATGCTGTCATTCACAAATGATTATCGGCATGGCTCATTTGCCCCAGTTCATGAGAGGTGTAAAGCTGTGTGGTACGTGGACGGCAAAGACTACATGTCTGCTGTGGCCGATGCTATCATGGCAGCCGAGACAGAAATCATGATTACTGACTGGCAAATGAATCCTGAAATCTTCATGAAAAGACCTGATTCTGGAGTTGATGGTCTAGATTGGCGACTGGACAAGATGCTGTTAAAAAAGGCTGACGAGGGTGTTAAAGTGAAAATATTATTATACAAAGGAATGAAATTATTAAATCTTGGAAGTGGTCACGTTGTAGAAGTGCTAAAGCATCGAAATATCGAAGTTCACTGCCATCCCGATATCGTTATCGGAGCACAGAATTTATTTTGGTGGGGTCATCATGAAAAGATGGTCATTGTTGATCATAGTATTGCATTTGTCGGAGGCATTGATCTCTGTTATGGTCGCTGGGATACTCGAGAACATGAGTTGATGGATAATTATCCTGTCCATCTTGCTGTAGATGGACGCGAAGCTTCAGATGATAACCCACACGAATATGCTCGGTGGATCGGCAAGGATTATATAAATACATTTTACAACATGGAGGAGCAAACGGACTGGGAGAAACCACTGGAGGGTTACGAGGGTGTTGAAAGAAATACGATTCCTCGCTTGCCTTGGCACGATGTAGCCTGTGCATTCATTGGAGAAGCTGTACAAGATGCTGTACAACATTTCACAGATAGATACCATGCCATAACCAAGGTTAGTCCTAACCCAATAAGGCAACCTGCCACTACAAGCAAGAAAACCAAAGCAGAAGAAATCGTGTCAAATTCCCGTGGCTACAACGTGAAAATTCAACTCCTGAGATCTGTAGACAACTGGTCAGCTGGTCAGAAACATGAGGCATCAATATACAACGCTTATATAGATGCGATAAAGAATGCTCAACACTTCATTTATATTGAAAATCAGTTCTTCATTTCATCGCAAAAAGGTTTGTCACGAAAAGTTCAAAATGATATCCAAGCAGCATTGGTTGAAAGAATTGTCCTTGCCCACAAAGCCAAGAAAGATTTCCATGTTATGGTCGTGATCCCTCTGAAACCCGAGTTCCCTGGTGAATGGGACGCCAATGATTTGAACGGAGAAATTTTACGAGCAGTGACATTTTGGAATCAAGCCACTATCTACCATGGAGAAGATTCGTTATTTAGTAAGCTTGAGAAAGAGAATATTCCGAAAGAAACTGCTATGAAGTACTTCTCTGTGTATAGCTTACGTACATATGACTTGATTGGAAAACATTTTGTTACTGAGATCGTGTATGTGCACAGTAAGATCATGATCGTTGATGATCGTAAGGCAATTATTGGATCTGCAAATATCAATGATCGCAGTATGCTGGGAGACCGAGATTCCGAAGTTGCAGTTATGATAGAAGATGTAGATTCCGTTGATGGTAACATGAACGGTATAGGATACAAGATGGGAAAGTTTGCTCACAGTTTGAGATGTGATCTACTTAAAGAATATCTAGGATTGGTCGGTGACAGTGAGGATGAATTTGACATAAGAATCAACGATCCACTGGCCGACAGTTTTGTTAAAGATGTACATGATCGGGCAGAAACAAATACTCGTATGTTTCTAGAAGCGTTTGGTCAAGGTTTACTTCCAAGAGAGGATGTGGAAGATTTTGAAGCGTTTCAACATTATAAAGATGTTTCTTTGCTTCGTGAAAATACACCACAGGCTGAAAAGATTCTGAGGCAGATAAAAGGAACTCTAGTGAACCATCCTGGAACATTTTTGATGAAAGAACTTAAACCTTTCCAATTACTAGATACTCTCTGCCTTCTCATGGCAGTAGATCGCATCGACCAAGAGACAAATTTCTTGGTTTAATCGGGCGAAGCTACAAAAATCTACTAGCTTTCAAGGACATTTGAAATAATATTGACATATACATCGGTGCTGCAAGCTGATTGACATGACGAATGCATGAGGACAGAGATGCGCATAGGCGTGAATATATATTAATTTAAAGTAAAACTAATCAAAATGCCAAATAAAATAATGTAGAATAATTAGTTAGAAGTTAAACTGAACCTACTTAGCAACTTAATTGTAGCCATATGCTTTCATGCTGATAAATATTACTGTCTTCAAGACACCAATGAGGTATATTTTTTATATTGCAAACGGTAGCTTTTGATCTGTATGCCTGGATTTTTTTAAAAGTAATAGACTACTGCACGTTCAAACTAATCCAGCATCATCTACCC